AACGAGTTAACTCTTCAACGATTTATAACAAAATTTTCCCTATACATAATGTCCTGTGTCAGCAAAAGATACGCCATTCCTCATATCTGGTTATGAATGAAAACGTGTGAAGTTATTTCTATAATTTATTACCTAGGGCCACATACTGTCATCGCTGTTATCTTGAATACTTTATTTTGGGGACGTACAATAGTGTTTTGTTTTAAACATAAGGCTTTTGCTTTTAGCTTTTTTAAAAAGCTATTTGTGTTTTTTTATTTATGATAGCCGATTTTGACATAACTGCCACTATTTTGTGTTGCCTAGCGTTGGGTTCTTGTCGTTAGCATGACATAGAAGTCTGATTAACTACTACCTTGTCAAAGAACTGGTCAGTACGGATAAAGAAATGTGTACGCCCCATGGTCCATGGGGGGGACACAGGATTCTTTATATATATTCAGCCTTAGCTTTACTTGGTGTCGTTGATATTTTGGCTTTGTACATTCGGAAATCGATGGACTGAAACAGAAGTCAATTAAATTTTAAGGCCTTTTCTTCTGTGGATGGAGGTTTGTGGCCCGGATGGAATATCGTTATTCCTACCATTAATTTAATATATTATATTATCAAGATTTCCAGATTCCAGAGAGAGAAGTCCAACATATTTAAGAAAAATTATAAATTATTTAGGAACGAGTTGGACCCGGTACGCATTACTACGACCCGTTGATTATTATATTACATTCGACCAACGAGATTTCGAACAGGTTACGGCTGAAGTTTTAGTCAGGATTCAGATTCCTTTCTAGCATTTATACTATGTTTAAGTTAAAGGCATGTTTCTAACGAAAGATTTATTTTGAGTGTATTAATTATAAAATTACACTTAAAAACTTTAATCTTACTCTTATAAAATTACTGTGTTATCAATTAACCGATTTTCCTGTCATCTTACAATTCAATGCTTTTTAATCAATTATTTAACAGAAGAAGAGCACGAATTATTTCCTTTAAATTGACCGTAATGATTGTAGTGTAGGCAAACCTTTCGTGCCATCGAATAATTTTGACTTTCGGATTATTTGGAAAACAATGATAATAAATACATAATCTACTTTACACATGTTATCGCGTCGCGTGGCAATGGTTCGCCTACCATGTCGTAGTCTAATAATATAGTATAGCTTCTAATCACCAATTTCTAAACTATCTTCATATTAATATACATTATGTTAATAATATATGCTACACATCTTCAATGTACATACAGCATGAGTTATAAGTTCCGCATACAAGAATTCCCTTTCACCGGATATAATTAATGAAACTTCCGTCTACGGTCCCCCTTCGTCCATATCTTCTTGCGGTCTATCATTATGTTACACCGACATTACTGTTTCATTACTTTACTTGGCACTGTGTGGAGTTTGAACTTTAAACGTTCGTTGGTAATTGATTTTTGTCAACAATCTACTGTAATTAGTTTTACGAAACGCTTCACGAATATTCTAATTTAAACTATAATAAAGTATTGTTTGTAGTTTTAGCGAGAACTACACATAATCAAACTTAACGGTTTAGGACGCGGATTCAGTTAGCAAATATTTGTTTTTTTTTATTTGACTTTGTAGCTTTTGCGCAATGTTATACAAATAACTATTTACTAATATATTTCTCGTTTTAAACAATTCAAATATTTTATTTAACTGTTAAACTATCGTAGTTTGTTTTTATGGATATAAAGTAGATATTTTAATTAAATTAATTTAAAATTTGTTTGTAAAAGGAACACACTTTATTATCTGACTTCCAATTGTCAGTTTTATTTACAACCAATCTGTTGTTTCTACGGAGTTTGAACCCAGAACTTCTTTTCTCTGCGTCTTGGTCGTAATCTAATAAGAATTAAGTTATTCAGTGATGTTAAAAAATTCAGTTCTCGGTGTAATAGACGGCGAGACCTTTCCGGTATATTTTATAACGTGCGGTAACTTTTCCCAAATGGAAGACAAATTAGGGTAATTTCAAAGGATGCCTTTTCTCAATCCGGCTCCATAAAAAATGCCAGCTTTTCATTGCTTTCAGATCAATTTTCATCGCCGCGGTAATATATTAGACGTTGCAGTATTTTACTTGAAAAGAGATCGCTCTCTCCATATTAGATTACTAGCGGCCCTGTCCCGGCTTCGCACGGGTAGACATAAATAAGTACAAATATTTAAATTATAAGCATGCTAATTAAAACGACCATGAATCACAAAATAGAAAGATTGTATTGCGCGTCCTAGCTGTTAACGCGGGTCTATCTCCTGGTTCAGGAGCCGCTGCGAGGTTCAGTGTTGAGTGTCCCGTGCACGCGTGGTCGCTAATTCAATTAGCACTATTTCCTTCAAGTTGCTGCAACGATCTTGTATGTATTCTGAAGACGAACCTGAATACTTCAACGAAAGTAGAAAATTTAATGTATTATATCTTTTGAATGGCATGTCCTGTTGTATTTCAATAATTAAAAAGGTAATCATCAGGTGAGCTTTGAGACAGTCTTGAATATTACATTATTTATTTGTATAAAAATTTATAAATGGCATGGATAACACGGTCTGATTTTGATCGGCATTTCTATTAATTTGTTAAATGTAAAAAAGTAGTTATAGCGATGTAACTACAATAGTTAGACATTTGCATTCGCGATGTTTTTTGTAGATATTGATATATCCTATCATTTTTTGTCCTACCATTAATAGTTTTCGCAGCGTATGCGAAGAAAGACATTTTACGGCTAATTTTTTTACGCCTTCCGTTGGTTTTAGTAAGAATTTCTATAGATGCCTATAGTAATCAAGTACTAAATATAGCCTGCTGGTATGTTAAATCGGACCAAGAATTTTTGAAATCGGTATAGTACGTTTTGTTTTTATCCGTTACATACAAAAATACAAATCTTTCCTCATTATAATATTAGTATAGATGTGTTATTTATTTTTTAATTTTGTCCCTAGTGATTCCTAATTAATACTTATTATTGCAATACTTATAAGTATCTGTAGCTCACACGGTAGTAGGCAATTAAATAATAACATTATTTTAACGTTTTAAATTAAAGTTATATATAAAATAATTAAGACGTTCTTCTTCGGTATAACTTGTTTATATTAAATTTTTTTTTAGAATTTTTTGATAGTTCGCGCTGTTAAAGTGTATTATCATAACTTCAAATAATTAAGAGTCTTGTACTTGTGTGCTTTTACTTTCTAACAGAGGTTATAACATTTGTCTTAAGTTTCATTAATTTTTCATTTCAATTTTAAGTCGATATTCTTTAATTTAATCTAACATTTCTTTTCATAGGGGGTCAAGATCTTAACCAACCACGATGCTTTGGAGTGACAAACTTTTATGACCGTATCCCTTAAATTATTTTAATTAGTCCTGACACCACACCAACAAACGCCTAACATTTTGTCTGACCTGGGATCCCCTCCCAGGTCACCGTGATCTGCAATCGAATGCAATTTTAATCACTATATCAATATGACACTAGACAACAAGCTACTACCTGTTTAAATATAGCTTATCTTGTGCAATCACCTAATCAAAGGTGAGATAGGTTATTCAGAAAAACTATTCTGCGCAGTTATGGGATATTTTAAATTCGAATTATTGTTTCTAAGACGGCATATACAAGATCATTTGAAAGCTAAATAACTAAGTTAATTTTTTTAAGGAACTCTGTAAAGCCTCCTGCAAAGGTTTTTTTTTGTAACAGAGAAAGACAGAAAAACATGGGGTCGTGATAAAATGTGAGATCCCCAGACACATAACATATAAACAAGATACTTGTTTTTGATTTGAACAATTTATGAATATGATTAGGAACTTAATACGTAGTATTCTTGAATTTGGCCTAGTCTTTGGTTATTAATTAAATAAACTGACATTAACATGCCAATAACAATCAAAAGACAATTATATTCCTCTTTTTGTTAAGCTATAAGGGCGATGTAATAAAACACACCAAGGAAGGACATTGAATATTTAATATTAATAATTTTGTAATATATACAAACAGTAAATTGATCTATGTGTAGCGGACTGAATGTTAAAACTTTAATATTTCAATAAATAAATGGATATAGACAATATCATAGTAATATATATATTAACGTTAATATAATATGTCGAATTACTAACAGAGAATATAATCTGTAAATGCAATTCAATGGCAGTTATTTAGGACACCTACTTAAACTTAATTGAATAATACAAGATAGATATTCCTAGAATCTTCGTTGTTTATAGCTAAGATTGGAAATACTAATTTGAGCTTAAGTTAAGAGATGAAACGAGTTGATCCACTAGAAACACTTTTGCACTGGTCATAATTTTCTACAGTTTTCTACTTCTAGTGATTCTGTTAAGTACTAAGATAATTATAATTAGTACATGACTTTCATACTTGCAAGACTATAGTGCAACAAGCCTATTTTTATTTTTCTTGAAAATTGTTATATTCACAGAAAAAGACGATATACATTGATCAATTAAAATGTTTTTTTGACAATTAAATACGTCTTTTGTTTACTGTAAATACTTCCTAGTTTATTAGTAACTATAAATTGTTGTTAGTTATGAAATTAAAGGTTAGTTACGTAATTACATAGCATACTGCATTTGTCAACCTTGGGTAAGTGACTTTAGTAAAACAAAGTTATATAAGTATGCAGCATATGAAACACTTTCCTATCTTGATGTGAAGTTGTGAATAATGCGAGTCACTCGCGCCTCGCTTCCGTGTGATAAGCTAGAAATAGGATTTACAAAACTTCCCCTTCCATAAAACTCTAAGTTAAATTATGACCAGTTACGGTATTCACCAAAGAGAGAATTCTAATACATTCTGAATCACACACGCAAAATTAAATGTGAAAAATCCGCGGGCGTATTCTAGAAATTATCCAACTAAGCCCGCGTTAACTCGAATCGAGTCGAATTTTGCGAACGCCCCAGCTAATGCCTGCTTAGAAACTGGTCCTGCCAAATATGAAGTTTCCCGCCGCGCTCGGGTCCTCGGTGGAGAAGTACTCCATCCAAAGTTCCTGGAATTCCTCCCAAGAGACACTTGCCTTGCCCTGAGAAATAAGAATTGTTCGTTTTGCAAATTAATTTCAGTAAGTCTCCTTCAAGAGAAAATATTTACGGAATTCGAGTTCAGTTGAATAAATTACAGTGTAAATTACTTTTGTGTTCTAAAATAATCATATTATTGACATTCATAAATATTTATTTTTCTTGAAAATGTTTCTACGGCTTAGAATACCCGTAACTGCGAGGGCCATAACGCAGTTAGTTGTGCGTGCATGGCATTACGGCATAAAGTATTATTTCCTCCTGGAAATCTTTTCAACTAGTTGCCTAAATAGTTGATAAGATTTCTGTGCCCCGACTGACCGAAACTCTATTTACCGCGGATTTAAAAGTAGCACCTTGCAACATACATGTAATTCTGTCTCATGTAATAAAAATATACAATAAATCTATTTCAGTACAATATAATACAAAAACTACATATTTCTACAATAAAAATGTCTCTTAGTTCTACGAAGATAAGTATCATCTAGTTAAACGAATGTTTATTTTTAGCTACGAGCGTCGTAGCTGCGAGCTACGAATCTAAGATCAAAGCTACACGTTTCTTACTACGCAACGATCAGCTTTGAAGCTTTGACGGATCATAGCTTTTATCTTGTAGTACTTTTGTTGTTTGTTTAGTATTGTTAGATATAAAATGTAAAAATATTTGTAAACAGATTATATTGGATACAAGTTAGACAACATGTAATGGTGATACTCATTTTTTTTAATTACGTACCTTAGCCATCTTGGCAAACGCTGCTTTACACTCCTGTGGATTGATGCCATATGATGAGCAAACGGTGGTGAACTCTTCGCTGTCAATAGTGCCATCAGCGCTGGCATCTTCCAGCTGGAACATGAAGTGGCAGTACTGCTGCTGCCATTTTAATGCTGCAGATGGGTTCTGCGCGTAGTCGTTCCACATTGAGACCCACTCTTCAACGGAGACCTGTAGAATTATAACTTCGTTACAATTCAACTAACTTGAGGAGCAGAACGTCCTTTTTTGTTTTGATTTACCTCTGCTTAGATTCTTTCATATACCAACTTACGGAGGTATACAATAATTATTTTACTTTAAAAAAAAGTATTTCGCGATCAGCTGATAAAAGACTTAGTAACGAAATTAACTAGTCACCATAGAGATTAATTGAAATAGATGTACTTTAATTCATCGTTTAAATACTAAATTATTCAATGAATTCCAATGCTATGACATAAATAAAACATAGGACTCCCTACAGAATAAACGGTCACGACCACTCTAACTCCATTGTAGTGCTGCTTATCTGTCTGTTCCTACTGGTTTAATCATCATTATCTTGTCATCGTCAAATCAGTATCATGATATGAAAGGAAAGCAATAAATATATAACAATAATACGAGTAATAAACTGTACAAAATAACGTAAGAACGGTGTAAAAGAATATTTTAAGCAAACGCTTGACTGTGTGAAACCGAGAAGCACGATCTTCTGTATGGGTGAGGAAATCTACTTAACCTTTTTTACCATTTCGTTTTTTTTATTAAAAGGTTACACAGGGAACCTTAATAAATAACACTATTAATGGATTAAAACGCGAAATATAGTAGTTAAAATTATTTACAATAAAAATCATACAGGTAAACGTGAGGACATTGTTAGTAATTTCTGCAAGGACCTCGCCAGTATCGCCATAAATCCCACCATCCCTTTACCCCGAGACCACGGTTGCTGCAAATTCCGTAATTCAAATAATTTGTAAAAAGTTTCATTTAAACATTTCGCGTTTTAAACCGTTAATTGTTTTATTTAAATGTGTACTACTTCCATAAACTATAGACAGTACTAAATTAATCCTATATTAAACTACTAAGAGGAAAGTTACGAAAATTCCGTGAAATAGAAAAGCTCGTTTGCTCTCATAAAAACAAAAGCATCGTAAAGTAAAAGCTCAGCGCCGACTTAGGTACCTTCCGAGTCAAAAGAACCTATTTCCTCCGTACAACGGTTTTAATCTTATACGCAGAGAGATATTGTTCTTAGAGATTTATTTTATACCCTCGCAGACCGCCCCTTTAGCGTGGAGTGGAATTACGTAACAAGTAGTAACAAAATATATAACAAGAGTAGCATAAATATATAATATGCCAGTATTGTTAAATATAATAATGCGCTATTTCGGCTTCGGATATTCGGAAATGCATAGACTGAAGCACGATAAAACATGTCGACTTTTTTATTTATAGACGGTGGTTCTTGATGGAAAAATCTATATAAATACTATCCATTTAATATCTTGATTTCCAGTCGAATTCCTTCATGGTTCAGAAACATTATAAATTGATTAGGCGCATGTTGGACCCGGGGGGCATCGAACTGTTGATTATTAGCCATACATTGCTACCGTGGCACCAACGAACCCGTTAAATGATCTGCCTAGCAATATATGATCATATCAACGGTATAATTAAAACCAAATTACAAAAATGTCAGCTTCAGAGACAAGCGGGATACTCTCCGAACACGAATTACTATCTCTAGTAATTTAAAAATCGTAAATTTTTTCAATTTATTTTCGATTTTTAAATTATATAGTACCTTCATGTAAAAAAATATTAAAGTTTTTAAATTCTATCTCTATCAGATCTAGTATCAGACCTTTATTTAGAAATAGTTGATAGTTGAGCTTGTTAAGCCGTTATCTTTACTTATCGACAGGTAGTAGTTCTCTTACAGCCCGTCAATCCAATGGGACAGCTTGGTGGTCCATTAAACCCAAAGAGGCCGCAAAAAGAAGGCGCCCTCGTAATAGGGATTTCGGACTCTTTTTTTTAATTCTGACGTGTACACCAGTAACCTTTTCCTTTGATTTTTCACAATCTATTTTGTTACTCAAAAAATATTTGTAGAAAATTTTGATTGCAATTTTTTTTTCACTTCTGTTCATGCTTCTAGACTTCCGAATCCGGCCCTGTCTATGGTTATCAGTGCAGCACATTTACGTTAAAACAAATCCATAGATTAGTCTTCACAGTCAGCTTTAGACCTGTAGCATATCACTTACTTTGTAAGCTGTACTTACCTATTCCGTTGGCGCACCCAAAGTGAGATTAACGATTTCAATCGTAAGAGTGATTTGACCGATGGGGTTTTAATTTATCGTTAAAGTGTTTTGCTAATAATTGCAATTCACATTAACTTTTATAGTAAGGACAATGGAATTAGATTGACAAACATCGCTATATGGGACGATTTTCAAGATTCGAACTCAGGACCTCTAGCGATTAACGCAAAGTAAGACAGATTTAACTTTTTGGTTACAGAGGGGATGTATATTTGTAATATATTATATCATTTATTTGTAAGCTATATTTTATCTAAACTACCGTAGTAAATCATTGAAATGAACTTTTCCCTTATTAATATGAACATCAAAATTCTCAGACTGGCGCCTCTTATACAAAGGGATCGTTTAGACTCCATCGAACACTAAACGTGAACTTATAGTTCCCCAAATGGACGATAAAAATAAACGTAGGCAACATTTGGCGCCATCAACGATCCTGATGACACAATTTTGTGGGGATTATGCAAAGAATTTTGGCTTTTGCTTCAATCCGTTTGGGGACCGTGTCCATTTTGGCTAAATGTCACTACAACGAGGGACGTTGCTAATGGAAAACTGATGAGAATATGGGGTCAGGCGCATATTTAGATAGATTGTGTGTGCTTTAAATTATGGAAAACAATAATTAATATTTAGGAAAACTTTCATATATTTACACGTCACATGATGGTGCTATATCAATTTAAAATCAATTTCAGATTTAAAAAAATCTGCGTTCCGTTTTTCTCTAACCAATTGAGCTACCGTGTTAGTGCAACAGCAGGGAACGCTGTAGATGCCGGTTCAAATCCTGCCTGTGTCGTAATTCGTTTTTTGTAAATAAATAAAAATTATCTAAAATCGATTTTTTATTCATTACTTAACAAGATTATACTCTTACGATTAATTAAAGAAATGGGAACGACTTTATGTCCAATATGTTGTAATTATATATTTAATTAAAATATGTTGTTAAGATTTTGCAAGGACGTTCACATCTTATTTAGAATTTATTAATAAATATTGCTCATTAAAGAAAACACTTCTAACGATTCAAAACGTTATGTATAAAATAGTTCTTTATACTACAATTATAAATTACTACAATATTCAGCATTTAGAACCGGTAGAAATGTTTAATTTGTGAATCACTCGTACAAATTAAACAATAGAAATTAGGACTTTATAATTTCTTGTTATAATTATTTTAGATCTGCACAAAACATTATTTTGCGGAAAAGGTTTTTTGTTATAATATGTTCTTTTAAAAATACAGAGGTCACGAGTAGCAACTTGACACGTCTAGTTAAAAGCGGGGACTTGACTTGGATTGAATTTACGATAAGGTGACGTAATATACGCGGGATTAAACAGGAATATATTTGTGCTATTGACATGGAAATAGGTTCCGAGAAAAAGATGAGGTTTCGTACCATGTTCAATATTTTATGAAATCTAGTTATTTATTATTGCTTTATTTTTTTAAAAAACATATCACAGAAAATGCATATTAATGAGGAAAAATCTTTCGTCCTAACTAAATAAAAGGCGGCCTTGTCGTATATATAAGTAGCGATCTCTTCCAGGCAATCTTAAGTACTGTAAGAAAAAAATAGGGGTTAGTTAATGTAGTCCAAATGATTTATATTATTGGGTAACTATTATTCGTTAGTTACCAACAAATAATTTGTTGACGGTTCGATTCCTGGGTCGGGTAAATTTCGTGAAAAATCTAGTACTTTGGTTTAGACCGAGACGTTAAAATCTCTTATAAGTGATGAGGTCGGTTTTTTCACAAAGAAAACGTAACGAAAACATTTACTTAATAATAAAATTTATTTATACGAAACAAACTTTTAATATATTTTTAGCGTAACCTGGTTTTAATACAATTAATGGGTGGATGGGGTCCTCGTTCGGGGCTCTGTTATTAAAAAAATATATATCTAATAATTTAAATAAAACACTTTAACGGTTTTAAACGTCCGTGACCACGCGCCGTGATGTGGAGTCCCCCGTGGCCAGTTGGAGCATCCGATGGGCCGAAGTTAAAAATCATTTTCAAATAAGTTTAACTAATATATGCGTTTTAAACTGTTAAAGTTTTTATTAATGTGTTACTCGCGTAACTATGACATAAACATATTAAATTGACAGAGACGTGCGTTATACGAAGGGAGAGATTTTTTTAATAAACCGAGAAAATGAGATGACAATTTTTTTTTCTATGCGTTATAAATATAAATTGTACGTCGCATAATGTGGTCTCCAATAAGGTAGTACTCCAGTATGCTACTTACAAGACAATTGTACAACAGCTGTGTTTAATCTCTACATAGTATAAACCGAAGTCGCTTTTTCTGTCCCTATCTATGTACGCTTAAATCTTTAAACTACGCAGCGGATTTTTTGATTTTATTAGATTGGTACAAGAGAAAGGTTTTTTGTGGCGAAGGCGGGGTGGGTCGCTAGTATTCATAATATGGCAAAACGTTTTGCGTGTTGGTTAATTAATAACAATTACGTAATGTATACCCAAGACCATAATGCAAGGGTTTTCCATTTATACGTTTGAATTAGTTTGGATTAACAATAGATTCGGGCATATGCGTTCTGAATATCTAATTATACTATTAATAATTATTTATTATCTATGCATACCTGTCCGTCTTTGTTGGAATCGGCCCGCTTCCTGAGGCCGTCCCAAATCTTAATCATCACCTCGTGAGTCTCTGAATGCTTGGCATCACCAGGTTTCCATCCACGGAGGCTGCAGACTTTCTGATGGAAGACAAACAAAATATATAACAATATTGTAGACACTACTATTTGAGTTTCGATGTCTTGGTTGTATTGATTGCCAACTTTTATGGTTTTTAACTACAGAAAATGAAATATATTTAAAGAGAAAATAATTGAAAAAAATTTCGACTCGGGCAGGACTTGAACCGGCATCGTCAGCTTTCCGTGCTGTTGCTCTACCAATTGAGCTACCGAGTCCTACACCTCATCGTCGAATTTTTTCAACTTATTGATACATGCACCTCTCGCGCAATGTAATTTCAACCTTAATACTTGCGTATTATTTTTCAATTTATTTTCCAATCTTTAAATTATATAGTGCCTTCATGTGCAATAACATGTGAAAAATAATAATGTTTTCAAATATATAGATTATTAACCTTTTTAACACCACCCGACGACCCTTGTGACTACGGTTGTTGCAAACCATCCAAACGAGTAACATTTATAGATAAGTTACTAACTGTAACTATTTCGAGTTTTAAACAGTTCAAAGTGTTTTATTTACCTTTTATAGTATTCATAATTTGTTTTAGACTTGAATAATTATTAAGTTTCCTTTTCCCAACTTGTTTATATCGTAAGGTTTCACATTTATATTTTTTGCAAAAATACTTATAGAAAAATTTTAAAAACACAATAGTTGTGTCAAGATCGCAAACTTTGTTTGGATTCATTCCAATTTGTATAATAAATAAATGGAAACGAAATCCCCAACTCATAAGCCTAACGATATAACTTTTAAGTTATTGAAAAATTTTAAAGTGACTTAACCAACATACTCTTGTGCTGTACAAAGTTTAGCTACTATCTTCAATAAACGAATTGCTCTGTTGCTAGTAGCTTTTATAATAAGATTTAAAAAATAATAATGTAAAACAAAAACATAACAATGTAATAATATAAACAACGTTAAAGCTCCACCAGTACTAGAACAGCGTGGTAAGTTTAAGCAAATAAAACCTCTTTCATATTCTGAGCCCAGCATATTAATATGTTAAAAAATTATATATTTAAATAAAACACTTTAACGGTTTAAAACGCGATATATTAGTTAAACTTATTTAAAAATGATTTTTAACTTCGGCCCGACGTTTCGGATGCTTTGCAGCAGCCGTGGTCACATTGCCTACTCTATATCGATCTATCAGTTAAGTAACACTTACTTCGATCGCCATCTCGAAATCTTTCCTTTCAATGGTTCCGCTTTGGTTCACATCTAAAACAAACATTAATATTATATGTTTATTGCTTCTTTATTGAGAATAAGAGATGAAGGATTTATTTGTTAACGTTATATAAGACACTAGCTGACCCGGCAAACGTTGTTTTGCCATGTAATTAATTTTACTAAAATGGCTATTAAAAAATAAGGGTTGATCGTAGAAGGGTGAAAATTGAGGGTTGTATGTATTTTTGTATGTTGATCCTTTAATTTTTGTCCAAAAAATAAATAAAAAAATTAGGGGTGGATTACCCCTAACATTCAGGGGGATAAAAAATAGACGTTGGTCGATTCTCATAGATACCGGATAAGCATAAAAATTTTTACCAAAATCGGTCAAACCGTTTCGGAGGAGTATGGCAACGAAAACTGTTACACGAGTTTACACGATTTTATATATTAGATATTAAACGTAGTTTTAAATATTGTACATTTTTAAAATTCGTCTATTTATAGTTGTTGAATTTAAGTAGATATAATACAATTTCTACTTACCGAAGAAAACATTGAATACGTAAAGGAGCTTCTTCCGTCTGAATTCGGAGATCGACATACTTGTCTGAAACAAAATATACAATTTATTTAACCATACAAATCACTTATATGTTATAGTAGCTAGGTTTTTAACTTATATATATAAACTAATTTATATAAAACATCTGAGTGTGAATTACTTTGGCCATATGGTCCCTTTTTCTTACTAATGATGTGATCGCCTTATGCATGTAAATCGAACTACAACCTCCCCGGAGACAGTATTTGACCAGAATTACTAAACACATCGTCAGCTCGCTACGGTGCTTTTGAGAAAGCCTTGGGAACACTTTTTTACAACTCCAAATCTCTACGTTAGCTCCGTGGAGCACTTATTTCTTTTTTTTCTTGATTGGTTTTTAACATACAGTGCATGCAGGCAATAAGTTATGGACATGCTTCCTGTTTCACACCTAACTAAAATTACTTTTCATGTCTCGAAGATAGTAATGAAAAGATAACATAGTGAAATCCCGTTGTCGTGGGGCATGGGGCGAACACATTTCTCGTTCTTGCTGGTCGATTTTATTAAAAAATAGATGTTTATACTTCTGTGCCAACAAAATAGTTTTTTATCTCAAGGATTCGAGCCCAGACCCTCTTGTCCATAAAGTAACATAAAACAATGAGTTGAATAATAGGTACTTTCGTCAAATTTTATCGAAAACGTCGAGTAAGTAAATATGTATATCAAATCTTACAAAATCTAGGCCTAATATGAGTATTAATAAAAAGTACGTGTGAAATATCATAAAAAAGTCATTAATTAAAACTGGTTCTATTTCAAAATTAAATTAAATCATAAAAAATAAGTTTTTAATTATTAAATAACTGAATTATCTTAAATGAAGTCATTTTTCACTCTTTGATGACATCATCACTCTCAGTATTTCATAACTCTAACAATATAGTAAAGAGTAGGGCCTAACCACGCCGCGGCTGAGCGCCCTATATTTTCTGAAATATATAAAGTTTCGTCTGGTAATATCGATTCTGATCTACCAGATAGCAGGTGTTCATAACCGCAAGGCGTAAATTGCTCTGTAAAGTCAGTCTGTAATAGTTCTGGCTAAAATTTATTGGTGCTCAAGAATTTATTGCTTTTGTCAGCATTCAAGTGTTACGACCTTGTCGGTTTTGTAAATTACAAATATTACACAGTGTTACAAACTTTGTTTAGTCCTCCCTGTTTTGTAATTTCATATTAGATTGTTCATACTTTATATATTTCTTCATGACCCACTTTTTGGATTCTACAAGCGACATTTAAAAAAATAATAAATTAATACATAATTCAAAATATTTTTAGAAACTTAATCATAATTACGAATAATATAATTCTCAAAATTTATGTGTAAATTGAGATAATTAATAAAAAAATTAAAATTAGTATGAAAATATTAGAGAGTTCTTATTTAAAAATTTTCATTAGATTTTTTCACATATTACACATGATGGATATATAAATTAAAAATTGAAAAATTTATTTTAAATACGGGTGAAACATTTGAAATCTCGGCCTAAGGAAAAAAAAAATTAATTCAAATCAAATAGATTTGATTTAAAAATAAACTATTTGCGTAAACTACACTGATCCTTTCTAATTTATCACAATAAGCTATTTATATGCCTAGCTAGTCTGAGGCCTAGAGCTAACAATCAACGTATCACACGATATTCCGTTTCAAATTAAAATTCTGAGCTTGAGGTTGACATCCGTGGTCTGACTGCGGCTTTCAATGGAACGGAATTACCTGGAAATAACCAATCTAGCTTCGAATATACGCTTTGTTCTGCTCTATTTGCGTGTATGCTAGACCACGCTATAGATTTTCATCTAGAATGCTATAGAACTAGCACTTGTTTCGTACAAATATGTAAAAAGTATTCAATTAAACTTAACTATTAATTAAGTTAATAACGCAACGTTAACGCAGATTTCTTAAGATCTGTATTCTTTGTTTGTATTTGTCATAATTTGTTTCGCCCACTTTGCACATCTCATTCATGTCCCTATTTTTTCTCTTATAATATACGTTGCCCCATTGCACTTCATTCTAGTATCAGTATTAATTATATTATTATGATTTTGTGCATTAAAAAAATATAAAAGAATAATTCAAAATTACTTAAATTCTGGTTCAAACTTGTATACTATTTCTAACAAACCAATAGTTGATGTGGCTGGTATGCTCTACCTGATAAATGATTTCCTGGCCTAAACTTGGAGGTCAAACATGTCTTTAAACATAAAATGAATGCGCCACATAGATAATTATAATGTACTTGTATATTTGTATTTAATTTTAATCAAAATGCGATATCGTATTTCAAGTTTATTTACAATTTTATTTTTTTATTTGATAATAGAACTAAAAAGGAACTCAGCTATTTTTGAGACAGCTACCGAAGAATCACTTGTTCCTTAAATAATTCCTCTAAAATAGTGCGCCTGCGTGCTCAGATAGCATGTTTAATATAAATTAGATTAAAGCTTTGTACCCGATTACTAGAAGGTCACATTAGGTTAATTTAATGTCGATTCTTGCAACAATCAAAACGTTTTATTAAATCTTAATAATCATTCTCCGTCATTAACAAGATGCATTCGCGAGGATTTATCAAAAGGGAATTTTTCAAATTGAGAAAAACTTTTCGAACCGGTCACAAAGAGTGTTGTGTGAAAGTTGACAAAGCGATACGGAATGTTTCCGAACTCTCAACCCCTTCAGTTCTTAGAAAGTTCGCTTGACACACTTCGCACTCTTGAACTAAGTTCAACCGTCAGTTAGCAGTTGTGTATTCTTTTGTCGTTACGCTTTGTTGCATAAATTATTCGAAAAAAGAACGCTATGAATTTTAATTTCAGTTTAGTGATTGTTTTCAGGTAAATGTATTTATTTCTTTTCAAGTGCCGTAATAGGTCCCCATTGAAATAGGTTTTTTCTTTCTCACTTGTCAAAACGAGACTTAACTACCGGACAATGAATTTTATAAAAATGGAAGGATTTTTTTTTTACAATTTTGTCCATAGTGTTGAAATAGCTAAGGACGACGGTGTCTCCCCTTGCTCGGTCAGACGGGACCTGGTTTACTTATTCATAATATATACTTAATTTATTTACTTATTCTTAACTTAAATTATTATTATTATACTTTCACCGCAAGTTACGTAATATTTATTTATATAAAAGTAATAATATGTTGAATGATGGGACTATTGCTAGAAACTAGTAAAACTCTAACCGTATGGAACTATCATAGAAATAAAATTCTCCTGTCACAGTGTTGATGCGCGAACTCCTTAAAAACTAGCCGAATTGTCTTTAATTAATTTTTGTTTACTTTCATTCATTCCTTTGGTATAAAAATAGGTATTTGTTTATTTATATTGATATTGAAAATTAATTAAAAGCACTTATAAGCACACTATGACAGGAGAATATATCTTATGTTAGGCCGTCGATGTTAGCAACACGAAAAAACCTGGTAATAAGTTTATTTTTATTCTCCAAAGCAATGATTTAACACAATTTACATAGATAGAAGTTCAAGGTCCTCCATTTTATTTACAAGGTAACATAAAATTAAATATTCATAAATTCGGACGCCAGTGGAACCTTTCGAAAATACAAGCCCTGTACTAATGTACCAGATCGCGACCCGTCCATCACGTGAAAATGAATCACTCTCTTTTCTGTTGAATCACGTCACATTATTTAACGCAGTGTCTTTATTAAGCTCAGCAAAATTGTTGTTTTAAACGAATTTTCCGCTAGTTTAAAAATAAATTTTCACGGACTCAGATTCATATAAGGGTTGTTTTTCTGAAGCGAAAGATCATGAAAAAACGTTCCACCTAGGATAAATAATTAGCTTTTCCATTTTTAGTAGTATTAGCTAGGCTTTTAACGTTAAACACTGTTCGTACGTACACGGAACGTAAGTATTTTTTACGCACGAAAATACGTAATAATTGTTATTGCCATCATTCTGCGTGTTTTTCTTACATTATCTTATGTTATAACACGAATAAATCCACAAAAACATTGTTTGTAGGAGCTACAGTATAAATAATTGTTTTATGTGAAGAGAGGATAATTGTTACGAAACCCGCAAGCCGGTAGCTCGTTATACAAGCGATGTAGCGACTGCTACGCCGTAGCGCTCTCCGTAGCATATTGTTTCGCTTTTGTGATTTTGGAGGATGGATGTATTTTATGGTTTCTGATTCATTAAATATTTTAAGTAAAATAAAGGTGTTTCATTTCATATTATTCTTAAATAATTTAAAAGTATATCCATTTATAAAAAATATTATACTATATTGCCTTATAAAAGGTAAAAAAAATGTGTTTCATATGTGCACGAAATTAAAGATTAATTATAATTCTTGTAGCTATTTCCATTAAAATATTTAGCGAATTTTGTTTGTCATGATACAAAAAGCTGTCATTTCTATGATTTATGTCATTTTTTAAATCTAATATGTAGACATCACACGATCAGTCTAGAGTGCCTGACCCAAACAAAACAATTTATCATGTAATCCGGAGGTTGTATCCAAAACCACTCGTGCCTAACGCAATTCGTTTAAATTATATTTTGCCTGTGTTATATAAAAACAAGAGACCCATATTATATTATTTTTTAATGTTCCGTGTATAGTAGGAATATTAAAAATATATATAGAAAATAATGTTTTTAGTTTACGCCAGTAGTACATATTTATATAAAACACTTTAACGGTTTAAAACGATTTTAACTTCGGCCCGACGTTTCGGATACGTCTCTTCATGACCACGGCTGCTTTTCAAATAACTTAAACTAATAAATCGCGTTTTAAACCGTTAAAGTGTTTTATTTAAATATATATAGTACTTATTTTTAAAACTTTGGAGACCTAGTGGGACTAATAGTAGCCGGTTCAGTTTTTATTCCTAAAGTCCTCACATTAAAATAATACAATGTTATGAACATGTGAATTAACAAAGTAAAGTTTTTATTAATTAATAAATT